TGTGTGTGTGTGTGTGTGTGTGTGTGTGTGTGTGTGTGTGTGTGTGTGTGTACAAATACATTATTTAACTTTATTCTACAGGAAAAAGCGTATAAAGAATTATTGGAAATTTATGGCACGGAAACTCCGAAGTTTGCACCAGTTAAATACGAGGATTTACAACATATGCATTACTTGGATTGTATTATTAAGGAAACTTTAAGACTTTTCCCTATTGTCCCTATGATTGGACGAAAACTGACAGAAGACTTAAAAATGGGTTCGTTTATTTTTTAAGAAAATTTTGTTAAAAAAAAATGCGCACTTATATACATATATGTTGCTTCATGTTTAAAAAAAAAATTACCAAATTAATAGATTTGATGTTGTAATCTATTCAAAACATTAAATTATCTTATAAATATTTCGAAACCATGAATGAAAAAACTGATGATTCGTCTCAAGGAATAGGAATTCGTTTTGACATTGGATCAAAACCAATTAAAATTTATTATCACTAAAGTATCAAGTTAAAAACCGCATGTTGATCACAATTCGAACGAAACATGACTAATACATTTAATATAATAAGTAAGACATGTCAGGTCAACAAGATTAACGATTTCATTTGGATATTTTTACAACTTTTAATGTTTCCTCGTATCTCATTTTGAAGAGGAAGAATGTTACGTTTTGTACATCATGAAACTTTTACTTATTTTTTTAAAGATTTTTTTTTTAAAGAAGAATAAAGTTACTACAAGAATGTATTAATTATAGCATATATTCTATTTCTCATGACAAAAATCTTACGAAAATTTTTATGTATCGCATATTTGTCAGAACTCCAACTCCAATAGAAGTATTAAAAATATTTAGGGGAAGCACGGGCAAAATGCCCTGAGTAAAGTGTATAATACCTTTTATTTTCGCTTATTTATCTGAGATTGCGCTATGTCTCTAGCAGTTGAAGGAATGATCAACCAACGATTATGAAAGTAAACATATGATTCGTTTATGTTTAATAGAGATATATAGAAAATTGAGTATTTTTTTTGCGATTTTTCCTTAGGTAACGTAACTTAATTATTATCTATAATTATTCCTTAATCTTAACAATATGAATGATTTTTATAAGCATTCTGTGTCTTTAAACATGTATTCGAGGTTAAAATTTTTCATTTGGTGTTTTAACTTATTCTGACCTTTTCAAATTCGCGCGAGATAGATCCTTTGGGCAAAGCGGATGATCTATATCTCTTTAGTCGGTATATGATTACAATGAAAATACTGGGAATACGGAAGGACAGACGATCTTTCTATACGAAAGGCATGTGTTTACATCTCATTTTTCTTTTTTTTTTTTGCCACAATGAAGTATGATTTGTTTATGACTAATTCAGTGCAGTCATTGCACCAAATGAGTCCATGAAGGCTGTACTACATATGGAGGATTTGGATGCTTTTGTAATGATTGTCAAGACCAATTCTAATTTTTTAAATTTCATTTGCATTGCTCGAGTGATCCACTTTACCCCAGCGGTCAGGCAAAGCAGATGGTTTCTCTTTTTTTATGTTTTAATTAAAATGACATCTTAATGTTAAAGTTTTTTAATTTTTTTTTTTATGTCAAAGTTAAGTCCTTTAAGAGATTTGTGAGAATAAAAATGATTTCTAATCTTAATTTTGATTATGTCATTTTTTTCTTCTCAACCTTAACAAGTCTGCGCTGCCCGAGCTTCCCTTATATAGTCTTATAATGAGTAAAAAAAAAATATTTTATGTAAAAAACTCATACAAAGTTAAAAGTAAGTTGTATGTTTTTATATTTAAAAATTAAAGAAAGGAGTTTGATAGAATATGTACATCGCCAGTTCAAAATGAAATATTTTCATTAGCAAAGTAGAAAGAAAAATTATTAGACATCAACCGATGTGAGTGTATGCTATCAAGATGTGCTAACGAAATCCTCTCAAAATGAAATAATTAATAAAAAATTTCGTGAAGAGTTTGAATCCCCAACTTTCCCCCTCCCTCTCTATCGGATATGCCTATATGAAGACATCCATGTTAAACGCTGAAAGCATTATTGTAGAGGCATTAAATGTTTATCAACTGTTAGCAAATGTTAAAAAAAATATTTCACAAAAAACAGCGAAAACTTATTCAAACACCTAATAATACTAACACGAATCATTCAAATTCAATATGCTAAATATCTATCATATTTCATATATTTCTATATTTGAATCCAAAAATACTTATGTCGTAAATATGTTAGACATGAATACATCCCAGTTTAAAATTATGAATAAGAACTGTCTCATTTGAATTCACTTCAATAAAAAAATTTCAACATAATTTGTTAGCTATGAATACATCACAGTTCAAAATTATGAAAATACACACTTTTGTTCAAATAAAAAAAGTTATGACGGAAATATGTAAATTCTGAATTTATATCTAAGTACAGTATTGAATAGGAATGTTCCTATTTCGATTGAAATGAATATGAAAACACTATTATATTTATAAAGAAGGAATTATACATGTTATTGTAAAATCAAAAGAATATTTACAGAAAATTTATTTTTAAGTTATTTTATTTTATCCACTTCATAAAGAGAATTTATGCCTTCAGATATTAATTTATTTCAATTTATTTAATTTATTTCAATTTATTTTAATTCAATTCTAGGCTCTACCCAGTAAGAAATGACAATGGAATCAAATCGACGTCAATTCGACATCAATTTGATAATTTCGACATCAAATCGATATCAATTCGATGTTGATTCCATTGTCATTTCTCACTGGGTAAAGCGTGAAAGCGGATGAATTAAATTAAAATGAATTGCAATTTTTACATTCATTTCAATCCATTCTCGTTTACTCGGAGTTTACTACACCTATATTATATTTCGGAATTTATATATGTTAAGGTATCTGCGAACTTACTACCGCGAGAAAAAAATCTCAAATTGAGATTTTTTTCAATTTAATCTGTTCCATTTGCATATGAGCGTTGTCAAGTTACAGTACATGTATATATGATTGACAAGTAATATTCCTAGTTAACTAATAGAGTTTGTTCTTAAAACACAAAACGATGGCGTTATCAAACTAAATAATATTCAAATTTCGTATTGGATTTCGAATTGATTCCTCATCCATTTTATTCTCTGGATTTAACTCCGTGCGATTTCTTTCTATTTCCAAATTTGAATCTAATTCGTGTAAACTGTACGGAATTCGTTTTTTTTTCATTTTTATGACAACTGTTAAATTGTGTGCTTCAAACAATTACTAAACAAACGTAAACAATATCATTTCTGGCGAAAATTTGACCTATAGAGGTTTAAAGATTGAAACTTTCTGTGCGTCACGGCAAATGGATTATGACGTCTAATGTATTGAATATTATTTCTCATAGAAATTTATTAAACTTATGATTCTGATACACATCTTATCACCGATAAATTATTAATAATTGATATGCTTCTTTTGTGAACTCGAGCGATTGACGCGCAGATTGTTCATCGGATTATGTTACATCAATACATATCCTGTAATGGGATGATCTTATCACTAAACATCTCTATATCGTTAATTAGAGCGACATCGGTAAGACAATAGAGAATCCTGCTTCTAGACATGAATCTGATTAACCGATTTATTTATCGACGACCGTTATATCTGTTTTATATTATATTTATAACAACGTGTTTTTTACATTGATGAAGGCTAGAAAGCCGAAATATATCAGTTATTTTAATTTAATGTTAAATATGCCTTAAAATTAAATATTTAGATATGTTAAAATTGAGAAGCGCAATACTTATAGCGCCGATTTCTATTAGTCCTATTTTCTTTATTAGTTGCTTTTCTATTTTATAGATTGTATATTTTACTTTATGAAAAAATGTTTTTTCATGCAAATATAATTTTCACAAATCTTCATTGTATATTTTTTTGCTTCTGACGTCACAATCTGAGATAATAGTGGTGAGCGAACAAGAACCTTAAAAAAATGTACGTTTGAATGTATTAAAAAATTATATTAAAAAATATGTTTTAGGAGAATTTGTTTTACCGAAAGGTGCAGATGTTATTATATCACTTATGGGAATGCATCGGAATGAAAAATATTGGCCGAATCCATTGATGTTTAATCCGGATAGATTTCTTCAAGAAAAAACAAATTGTGTACCATATTATTACATACCTTTTAGTGACGGACCAAGAAATTGTATAGGTAAATATGAATAAATTATAAATCGTGAAATTAATTTACAATTGGCAAATATTTATAATTGACAAATTTACAGGTTTGAAATATGCAATGATGTCTATGAAAGTTATTTTAGCAACGCTGATAAGAACGTTCGTATTTAAATTAAATCAAAGCATTGAGATAGAGAAAATCAAATTAATTTCGGACATACTATTATCTATAGATGAACCTATAAATATTAGAATTGAAAAACGGATTTCTAATAATACATAAATGAATGATACCATAGTAGTATGGAAACATTAATCAGTATTCATTTATATATTATTTTATAATATATACATATATTCTGTAGCATTATTTTGTCTGGTATTTAGAACGCTTTTATCGATAAAATTATCTTTGAAATTCTATAATAGGCATAACGTATAGTATGTTAGCGCTAACATCATTGTAAGCGCGTTCTGAATACGGTCCTCTGTCTTTATTAGTAAAAGAATATTATTATAGAATATTGTTACAAAATATATGTATACAAAATAATGTATGAACGAATACTGATTAATGTTTTCATAGTATTATTCAATATTCATACTACTAATATCAAACAAGAATAACATATGCAACATATTGATCTGTGTCAATGTTATATGTGTATATTCTGAAACAATGCTCTATCTTTATTATTAAAGAAACAGAATATTGTTACAGAATTGCATTAAGATTAATATAATAAAATATAGATATAAATCAATATATTATGCATATGTTAACATGTATTTTTGTTTGTCATTAGTTAACAATTAAATATAAGGCAGATTCTCTTATGTTATTGTTTCTCATTTATAGTTCTAATTTAGATTCTCTAATCATTTTCAAGTTTATTATTTTATTCTCCCTTTCGGTTTCGGTGTCTGTAATAAGATTTTTATCTGTATCAAATAAAGAGATATTATTAACCTAATTTAGGTATTTTTTCATTTGTATAATTAATTGTATAATTAATCCTAATTGATTGTCTGTTTGTACTAAATATTTATTATAAGGAACTAAATATTTATTAAAAGAAACTCAATATATAATTCAATATATTATCGTCCAATCATATTCGATATCCGATAGTGACACATATGAGATTACATAGAATTAATTCTCTTAAAAGAAACTAAGATTAATTTGAAAAAGTTTGGTTCTACCATTCCGACGATATCCGATTACAATAGGAAATATTTTAACATATCTCAGTCATGATGATTGCATAGGAATTGTGATTCTTGTGCCATCTAAAGATCATGACTAGTGACAATTGTGAAACTCATACAAAAAGATTTTGATAACCTTGGATTTATAATGGACATATCATCGAAGTTGAACAACGAAGAAAGATAATGATTAAATTCTGTTAAGAAAATTAGGTTTTTATGACAAATTAGTTTGTAAGCGAGAATTAGAGAAATTTGAAATTTGTACATACAAGATGACCTAATGGAAGATTGAAACGTTTATGTTTTAAATTATTTATTATTAAAATAGTTAAAAAGAAAAATTTTATCACTGTAAGAACAAATGTAGGTTTTAATGCTTCTTTTTTAATCAGTTTGATTTATTCTGTAAGCCGATACAATTATATTGTCAATATATTATAATGTAAATTCAGTGAGAAGTGACAATGAAATCGATATCGACATCGATTCGATGTCAATTCTATTATCATTTCTCATTGGGAAGTCGCCTATTATGGGATACCATTTTTAAAAGCTTGTAATTTATTTAATTTGAAACCTCAATTTTTATCTTTAAATCAAATTTGTGAGAAATATATGTATTTAAGTATCGCCAAAAGTTAACAGTCGAGAATAGATGTACTTCATTGTATGTGAAATTTTTTATCGAAAAAATGCTGATTTTGATTATTCAAAGAAAGTATTCCTATAATATAAGATACAAGAGTTCTTTATATGAAGTGATATTTTATAAGAAATTAAGGAAAAAATGAAGATATGTTTTTCATATACTTTCATTATATATTACATAAAAGTAGGAACAAAAAATATAATGTTATATAATAATTATATAATTTTTAAATGAGTATATATGAATGTATGTGTATGTGTGTAAGAAATCTTAACAATAATAGAATCGTCATTTTTAAGATATCGTTCGATATTATGCTTTGGGAAATTGAAATGTTTAAATGCTCTCATATTAGCTAAGAATATCCTGAGTATCTCATATTATGACTTCCACGCTTTGCGGTTCCACGATTATCAAATCTCTTTACAGTTAAACATATCATTATATCACGTTTTTCTTATCAATACGATACTCATCTTACTCTGCCAACATCCAATTTCACAAATCTTTTTTTGCAGCGATTACTCGCATGATCTAATAATTTTCTACTAAATAAGTTTCACACTAAAAGTAAAAAGTTCATAATAGAATCAAACTTGTGCTTAGTTTAGCAGAAATCCACTATCTCATATTAGGCCCCATAATAGCCGACCTATTCTATAATACACTTTAAAGTGTAAGAAATTTAAAAGAAATAGGCACAACACAGAAGTTATCAGCGTCAGGGCTGCGTGGCTCACAATCACAATGGCAAGACGGAAATCTATCAATTCAGAGGAGGCCTCGAATCTCTCATTATTATTGCTCTGATGTCAACAATATGATGACAAGTATCTATTTCTTTTCTTATATAATCAACATATATAATCAATTAATTATCTGTTCAACTATTATAAGTGATATCACCTCGATGTACTATATATAACGTAACAACTTTTTATACTTATAGATTAATTTTTTTCTATCTCACATCCTGTGCATTAAAATTTTCCATTCAATGCAAATAACTTTGCACATAATTTCAAAAAAATTTAATATAAGAAATCAAACAAAAATGACTGGTTTTTTTTACAAAAAGATACATTGTGATCTAAAATCTTTAAAATTATAATTTATAGTCTTAATTTTTTATTCATGAAGATGCATTTGTTGTCTTATTTCAGGCGTAATTCGGATTCACATCTGGATATTCTCCATATTTAACATTCATAAAAACAAGAATAGAATAACTTGGGTGATACTCGAGTGGGAATTATAGCTTTAAGTGAAGAAAACATAATAAAATCATCAAGTAAGCAGCATTTGCAGTACGAGAATATATTATTAAATAGTATTTCTATTTCATTGTTACTTCGGAATGTTGTTTATTATTATTGTACTAAGTTTAATATGTATCGCAATAAGTTATTTTGTTCAACATTGTCGTTTGTTTTTTTCTCGAACTGTGAAACCGTTACCTGGATCTAAGACTACCATTTATTGGTAGCACGTATCATTTTCTACAACGTAATTCCAAAGGTAATAGATTTGTTTAATTTAAAAGATTATATAACGTAAAAATTTATTTTAAATTAGATCCTTCAGAATAAAATTTATTACAGTTAATTTTATACAATGTATCAGTTCAATATTATAATGATTAGAAACAGAATCAAATTCAATACTTTATAAATATCAATTAATTAAATATCTTTACATTATGAACACCTACTATTTATAAAAATAAGATATGTAATTGCCAAAAATAACATCAAGTAAAATATATCATATTATTTTTATTATTATTAGAAATTTAAAATGTGTATCTAAATATAATCAAAAATTTAAATAATATTATATAATAAAGGAGGAGTTTCCATAAGGGCCGATTTCGGCAGATTTTATTCAAATACATAAAACTCTATTTCTTGAAGTCAATTATATTTAATTAAAGTGATTTTATAGCTTAAACGGAGTAATGGTGTTGCCATAGGAGTCTCCATAAGGCCGGTTTTCCGCCTATTTCAATTTCATTTTAAATAATTAGAAACGTTTTATTATTGTAAGAATTATTGAAACCAGGTGATTTTAGTTTAAACGGATGTATTTGACCTGTTATCTTATAACTGGTCACCTACATTTACTACCAATACTCTTATGGTTTTAATCTTTTATTTTATAGACATATGTATTATTTGGGAATTTTACCCATATTGAGCATTACCCAAGATTAATGATGTGGATATGTCAGATTTCTGATCCCTTTTGGGATACTTGATTCATATGAGTCCTCTCGCTTCTCACGTTCGGGGTGTTTCATTTACGTAAGTCCCCTCGCCTCTCACTGACCTCAAGAAATAGATTTTTATATGTTTGAACAAAATCTGAAGGATGTCCGAAATCGATCCTTATGGAGACTCCTCCTTTCACGAATAATCTTATAACTACATATGCAACAAAACTTTTCAGATTTTTTAAATGTTTGCATTAAGTTCGCTGAAACTTATTCATCTCCATTCCGAATATGGATAGGCCCAAAGTTAATCATCGCAATATATGAACCGGACTAAATAAAGGTAGAAAAATAACATTTACATTCTGTCATATATGAATATTTATCAACTTAGCTATCTTATAAGATATTTTTTGTAACTTGATTAATTAAAATATATCTATTTTTTATGATGATACGAGAAAATACTACTTGTTCGATTTAAAAGTGCACATCATGATGAGAAATTTTTCTCAAGGTCATTTTTTTAGACCAAGGTCTAAAAAATCTCCACTCTTTAAAATAGAATTATATGATTTTTGCACAATACGATTCCTCTAATATTATTTTGCATATAAAAGTCTTAAGATAGTGATATAAAGAAATCAATTATGAAATATTTTATCTATTATATCAAAGATATTTTATACTTTATTTTATACTTTATTTTAGCATATATTGATATAAAATGTTAAATAATTCGTAAACTATTAACTTTTTTGTAATCATATGTTAATATTTTTATGAACAGAATAACGAGATAATGTAATAGTGGAAGGAAAACATATAGTTGCTTATTTAAAAAATTGTGTATTTTCTTTCTTCTGGCCGAAGTAATATTTTTCATAACAAGAATTAATTATTTATAGATTTTAATTTGTCACTCAGCATTATTAAGATTGTTCTAAAATGCGAAAAAAAGCATTAAATTATCAAATTGCTAGTCAATTTAATTCGTGATATTACTGCAGCAATTTAGTAGAGTTTCAAGACCGAAAAATCATTCTAGCGCGCATTTTTAAAGGACTATACACACACACACACACACACACACACACACACACACACACACACAACCGCTCATGAAAAATCGGATATTCGCATAAATTATCGAATGATAATATAAAAAATTAAAACATTATAA